CCCCGTCCTGCGCCAGCGTCCGGCCGCGCGCCCCCAGCCCCGGGCCCGGCGTGCTCGCGCTGTCGGGGAGAGGCGGCTGCGGCGCTCGCGGGAGTTCTCCTTGGGCGCGCCCCCGCGGGCCCCGCGTCGCGCAGGTGAGCGGCCTGCCTGCTCCCTTCGCTTGGCCTGAAGGTGCCCCTCTGCCGCGGGTGGCCCTGGGGGGAGAGCAGGGGCCCCTCGGCTCCCCCTGCCCTGCACCGCTGCCCCTCCCCAGCGGGTGACCCAGGTTCCCGGCCTTGGCCAGGCCCCCGCTGGGTGGCCCGCAGGCTCAGACGCTGGGGGAAGGCGACCTCAGGAAGGGGCCCGATCCGTCTGCCAAAGACCAGGCGGAGGGGCGGCGTGGGGAGCTGCTTGTGGGTCTGAAAAATGGCAGAAGCGGCAAAGAGAGGGGCCAGAATCTGGACCTGTGATGGGACTGCTCTGCTCTTCCTTTCAGGAAGTGGGGGGTGGGAGTAGAATAAAGGGGGTCTATGGGGAGCCACAGGTGCGCACAGCCTCTCCACATACAGATGTGCAAAGTCGGGCACTCCTTCAGGCTGTGGCACTGCTGTGCTTCTGCAAGTCACACAGCTCGCCTCCCCCGCAGGCACCCTCCCTTTTCTCTGCTGAGAGGATTTCAAGAGGTGGGACCAGGAGGCCGCTTCTCCTCCCCCCGCCCTGCATCCGCATCCGGCCTGTGTCCAGACATGTCTCCCTTCCCTTCCCTTCCCTTCCCTTCCCTTCCCTTCCCTTCCCTTCCCTTCCCGGTACTGAGGGGCTGGCACAAAGCAGGAGCGCCGCATCGCTGCAGGAGCGCCTTGCGGGGTACCCTGCGCCCCATGCTGGGCTGGCCAAGCCCCGGCTGCAGTGCAGGCATCTTCCCCCACAGCCTCATCCAGCTCAGATGGTCTGGCCGTGCCCCTTGCCTGCCTGCTCCCCATGCTGCCCCGCCGGGCATCCCGCCAGCCCTCCCAGGTGGCCTCACCCGGGGAAAGTGACTGGCCCCACGTGCCCGAAGGACTGAGGGAAGCGGAGCACCTGCTTGCTTGCAAGGGATCACAGGGAAAGGGTCTCCAGGAGGACGGCCGTGGTGGGGGGGGGGGGGGGTGAAGCCGGGCTGCGTGTCCTCCAGGAGTGTGGCTTGCTGGCTGCAGTCTTTCACCTGTGACTGGCGCAGAGGGGGCCCTTCTGCCCAAGGCCTGCTCTCCAGGGCCCGGGTGCCCGGTCCTCCTGGAGCTGCTGCCCCAGGCAGGGAAGCAGCGCCTGCGAGAGAGGAGCCCGCTCTGCTCCGTGCTGCCGCCTTGAGGGCAGGGGAGCGGGGTGGTGCAGGAGCAGATGCTCCCGGCAGCCATCCCTGCAGGATGCCTGCATCTCTGGGGGGGCTGCTAGCCACAGTCCCTCACTGGCCGCTTGCTGCGGACCTCGACACGCGAGGGGCCCTTCGGTCCAGGTCTGCAGGGCGCAGCAATCCACGGTGAGTCAAACAAACTGCAGCAAACGGTTGCATCTCATTTTATGCTCTGTTCTATTTATTCCTGCTTTCTCCCCTGCTTGCCGTGCCCAGAGGTCTCCCCTTCCAGCCCAGGCCAGCCCCGGACCTGCTCAGCTTCCGCAGGGTGGGTGCCGGGGGAGCCTTCAGACCACATGGTGGCCATACTTACTATGGCGCGAGCTGTAGCGGACTACGGGCCACTTCCCCGGGAGCGTCTGGCGTGCTCTGCCCAGCGACCCCCTTGCCTCTGGGGCTGGGAAAGGGCCACAAGGGGTCATCCTTGGTTGCGGGCAGTCGGACTTCAGAGCGCTCGGCTCGGTCCCCGTTCCAGGGCAGGGCAGGGCAGGGCACCCATGGGTGGGCCTTGCCCCAGTCGTCGTCAGCCTGGGCACGTGAGGAGGCAGCCGCAAAGGAGAAGCAGAGGCTGGCCAGCAGAGGCCCCCCCAGCAGAGGCCCCCTCTAAGCAGGGGAGGAGGGCTCACCTACCAGACAGCTGGTCTGTGAGCTGCAGCTGAAGGAAGCGCATCTTGCGCCTGCTCAGGGGTTGCTGGAGCCCACTTGGGATGATCCCAGGTGATCTCAGAGATCAGGCAGGGCCAGTGTGAGGGGCGCTCAGGACCTCTCCTCACCTGGCCCAGTAATCGAGGGGGGGGGCAGCCCACGCTCGGAGATCCAGAAGCAGCCCCTCGGCGGTTGAAGCATCAGTGGCACGCAGGGGCGGCCAAACAGCCCCGTGCCCTGGAGGACCTGGACCGGTGGGTGCCCAGCAAGGGCAGGGGGCGTTGGCCTGTCCGGGAGCGTCCTCCCTCGCCACCAGGGGAAGCAGGGCTCCAGGCGGCCTGGCCTCCCTGGGCTTCCCCGCCTCTCAGTGGGAGCCTTGCCCGGGCATCGGGAGGATCTCCTGGGGAAGCCTGGAGCCCACGCCGACCCATGGCCGGGTGGCGGCAATGGACCCCGCCCTCCGGGGGCCACGCTGGAGCACCGCGAAGCAGTCGGGCGGCCCGGGTCAGGGACCTCCGACGCGGAGGCTGCCTGAGCAGGAGCTGGGCGGATGGGCTCAGGGCGCCTCCCCAGCCCGCGGTGATCCCATGGGAGCTGAGCAGCCGCAAGGCAGCCGGGCGCCTCTGCCCCGGAGCGCGCCGCACCGACTGAGGCGCCGCGTTCGCCCGTCTCGGGGGGGGGGGGGAGCCGCCCCGCCGCCGCTCTCCTGGCAGCAACGGCCAGGGGGCGGCCCCTGGGAGGACCTGGCCAGGCTGCGGCCGGCGCGGCGCGCATCCGGCCGGCGCCGGGAGCCTCAGGGCGGCTGTGCGAAAGCCCGGCCCGCCCGGGAGAAGCCTACCCGTGGTTCTCCGCGCGCAAGCGGCGAAGGAGCGCCCGTGGGGGTCGCGGAGGCGCCTGGAAAGGGGGGCGGATGGGATGGCGAGCAAACCCATCATCCGCGAGAGGCGGGGGGGGGCAGCGGCTCGGATTTCCGACGGCTCGCCGCGCCCCCGCCCAACGGGCGCTTCAGGGGCCTGCAAGCCTCGGCTCGCGCCCGGTGCCTTGCCCTTCGCCCGCGCCCGGCCGAGGATGCCGGCGGGGCGGGGCGCGGCCGTGCGCCTCCTTCGAGCTGGGGAGGGCGGTCGCTTCGCGGCGCCGCGCCTGCGGAGGATGCGGGAGCTGCGCCCGCCGCACGAGCGCTGCCCCGCGGGCGTCCACAAAGGCTTTGCGCCGGAGACGAGCCCCGCTTCCCGGGGCGGGGGGCGTGCTCCGGCCGCATCGCTGCACCTTGCGGAGCCGGAATCGGCGTCCGCCCGTCCGACAAGCTTGCGGCGCGGCTCCTGACGCGCTGCGCGACTCGGGGCGGCCACCGGGAGGAGGGCCGAGCGTGGTCGGGCTCCTCTTGCGGCCGCGCCTGCTTTCCCGCCACGGTGGCCTGAGGAGCAAGCTGCCGAGGCCGGAGGGCTGCACGGCGCCTCCGAGCAAGCCGAGCCCCCTCCGTGCAGCCGGCGCTGCCAGGAGACGTGGCCACGTCTTGCGAGGCTTGCCCAACCCCGTCCTCGTTGAACGACCGCTTGACTCCCGAACTTGGCGGGCCAACTGCGGCGACGGGGAGGCTGCGCTTCAACCCCGATTTATGATTTTATTCGTGCGTATGGATCGATGCAGTGCACTTACATCGAGCCTTTCCTCGCACCCTCTCTACTTGGTCCTCACAACAACCCTGTGAGGTAGGCAAGGCCGAGCAGCTGAGCGCCCAGGCGGGCCCGGGCCCCTTCTCAGTCCCGCGCGCTCGCCACTGCACCAACGCGCTCTCGGCCACGTGGGCCCACGGCGGGGGCCCCCCTTGGCTGGACAGAGCAGAGGCGGCCGCAAGGGCTCCCGCAGGAGCAATCGGAGAACAGGCGCCCCCGTCGAGTCAGGCGAGTCGCAAACAGGAGCAGGCGGGCGCCGTCCAACCTTCACCGAGCTGCACAGGCCAAGGGGCTCTGCGTTCTGCGGAAGCGCGTCCCGGCGGGCGGGCGGGCGCGGCGAGCCCCCTCCGGGCCGCCGCCGCCCGCAGCTCCCATTTGCGCGCCGCCGCGCGGCCGAGGCCCCCCAGGAGCCCGTGCCCGCGAGGGCGCAGCCGGCGAGACATCGCGGGAAGCGGAGGAGGGAAGGGAAGCGAAGAGGCGCAGGCACGCGCGCCCCGCCCGCGCGGCCCGGAAGGGGCGGGCGCTCGGCGCGTCACTTCCGCCTGCCCTCCCGCGGATAAGTCTCCCGGCAGCCCGCGCGCGGCCTCTTTTCGCCGCGCGGCCAAGATGGCGGACACGCAGGTGGGAGCTCTTGCTGGGCCGGGGCGGCGGCGGAGGCCTCCGCCGGGGCTCTCGCGGGCGCCGCTTGCCTTCCGAGCGGCGCGTCCGGCCTCCTTCCCTCCCGCCGCGGGCGGCCTAGAGGAGGCGGGCGGCGGAGCGGGCCGCCCCTCGCGCGGCCTCCTGCAGCGGCCTCGCCACAGAGGCCTCGGCCGGCCGGGCAGCCCGCCCCGCTGACTTCACGTTCTCTCGCTTCACTTGCAGACCGAGAGGGCTTATCAGAAGCAGCCGACCATCTTCCAGAACAAAAAGCGGGTGCTTCTGGGAGACACTGGCAAAGAAAAGCTCCCCCGCTATTATAAGAACATCGGGCTGGGGTTCAAGACCCCCAAAGAGGTAATCGGCGCTTCGGAGGCCTCTTCGGGTGGGGGGCAAGGTTCGGGGCCAAACCTGCGGGGAGGCACCTTTACAGCTTCACAGGGTTGCAGGAGGCCAGGAAGTTGAGTGCACATGTTTGTATTTGGAATCAAGTGGTGATAACAATATTTCTTGCCACGGTTGTTCCATGGGACTCTGTTTTGTGCTGCGCCTTTTGCACTTATTTAGTTACTGGGCTGCGAGAGCATCCCTGTGAAAATGTCAGGAACAGTCATCTTGAATAAATGGTTTATGTATTAGGGAAATTGGCTGTCAATTAAGAGTGCAGGATAATTTCCCCCCTTTGCTGACACATGATGTACATTCTCACGATGGTCTTCCAAGCCCCACTGGTGAAGGGGCTTTGACGAAAGCAGCCAAGAGGCTTTACTGAAGTCAGCTGGTATTTTCTGTCACAACATCTTTGCCTAGGCTTTCATTCCCTATATGTGTCTAGGATGCAAAGTAACCCATATACAGAATATGCATTTTGATTGTCTCAAACAACCATATTCTGAAGAATTTGATTAATATAGCCACCTGTTGCATGGGGATGTAGAACAGGCAAATTCTATATTTTATATAGTTTGTACAGGAATCGAAAGATTCCAGTATCGTGCTCACTTTCAACACATCCGTGGTGTGACCGTATGTAGAAAACTGCAGCTCAAGAGCCATGTTTATAGGACATTGCAGAGCCAGGAAAAGGGTAGCTAAAATCGTGAAGGCACTGCAGCTATTCCTCTATGAGGAAAGAGGGCAACATCTAAGGTTTCTGGGGTTAGAAAAGCTTGGCATGTTTTTCTGTTTTATAATATTTGGAACCAAGGTCATCCCACAAAATTGATTGGTGGGCAATCCAGGACGGGCAGAGGGAAGTATTTCTTTACATAATGCATATTCAAATGAGGAAGTTTGCTTCAATAAGATACAGTGGTGGTAAGTAAGCGTCACTCTACAATTGGTCGTACATGTTCGCAAAGACTTATGGCAACCGCACCTGCGCAGTGTATGTGATCTCCAGGATCAGAGGTGGTGTGCTTGTACATGCCAGTTGCTGTGGAACATGGGTGGGAAGGCGCTGTTGCTCTTGCCTGTCTCTGAGTTGAACCCTGGACGTGGCCGACTGCGGTCTGATCCAGTGTAGCTGTTCCTGAGAGGTCCTGCCCATGCACCAGGGTTTTGCTTGCATTCGGTCATTTGAGTGGCACATGTGCTCAAACACACTTCTGCAGCCTAAAGTGGCACATCTGGTTCTTCCGTGAAAACGAGGACCTGCTGTATTTTTCTGCCTTGATGAGCTGGATGTGGGTCAGCCCTGAACTGGGGCCTGAAGGTAGTCCCCCAGCTGCTTCTGGCTTTAATGCTATAATTCAGGAGGGTGGTAGCAGCCCTCTCCACTGAACATAGAAACAGAGAGAGTCAGAAGGGGTTTTCCGGGCCACCTAGTCTGACCCCGGCTCCAGCCAGGTCTGCTCACAACTTGCCCACCATGTGCATGTCCAGCCTATCCTTGAACACCCACACCGATGGGGCCTCAACTCCCCCCCCCCCATGGAAGCCCATTCCACGCCCTCGGGGTCCCGACTGTCAGGAAGTGCTCCCTGGCATCCAAGTGGAACCTCCATCTTATGCTGCTGCCTCAGCTGACGATACATGTTGACTGTTTGCTCCTTGCAGGCCATTGAGGGAACTTACATTGACAAGAAATGCCCTTTCACCGGCAATGTTTCGATTCGGGGCCGGATCCTGTCAGGTAAAAGGAAGCTCCCCTTTCTTGTACACACTTTGGCGTTCGTGAGGTTGGTGGCAGAAGCTGCCTCGTGAAGAAGCGTTTTCTGCGGGGTTGTGTGCTGCATGGTGTTTGCCTGGCCTGGACAAAAGGCCGGATCCTCGTTCGATCCCTCGAAAGAGGCACTGTGGAGACAGAGAAGCCCAGAGGGGTTGTCATGAGCAGGGAATGAACCGAGCCGCATGATGGAGCTCGATTTTGCCTCCCCAGCCACCCACTTCAGGGCGAGACAGGGTTTTGTCAGTTGTTCTGAAGAACCTGTGCCACACAGTTCCTTCCAGTGGCCACAACCTCTTTGCATCCTCGGGGCCAATGAAGAGGCCTCATCCCGTGGCTCAGCCGTGCCTCCCCTTTTCTCTGCACTCCCTGTGGTCATAAGCTGGTTTTCTGAAGGAAGGGACTCCCAGGTAGTGCAGAGCGACACGGGCAGGGCTCCCGAGGGCTCAAGCACTTAGGTGCTCTGCTCTCCTGTCTTGTGTGGGATGTGACTCTTCTCCAGTCCTCCAAGGCCACTGATGTAACACAGATGTTCAGAGCAGGATTGGAGAGTGTGGGGGTGGGGAGGTCGAGTTCCCATGCTGGGTGGGGTTAGCAGTGCTGGCATCTTGCAGTTGGAAGCCGGCAGCTGAGCCCCAGGAGAGGCCGGTCAGCCTGAAGGGGGGGGATGGGGCCCTCTGGAGAGCCCCGAGGTCCCGATGCAGCCCATAGGCCTGGCAGTCCCTCTGCTGGGAGAGAGTGCTGGCGCGGCTTGTACCAGGCCAGCCTCTGTTCAGAAGCTGACCCTGCAGGAGGCAGAAGCCCCGGTGCTGGCAGGCCCTGGCAGCCGTCTCAGCACCGCTGCTAGGGAACCGCGCAGCCGGGTGGTTGGCAGTTCTGCCCTTGCCGCCGTGACCACGGTCTTGCCGTCCAGTCCGCACCCCATGCCAGGGTCAGCGGTGTGTCCTCAGATGTGCTGAGATGAAGCGGGGCTGCCCAGGCGCCTGCTGGCCCCGTTCTCCACTAAGTGGCACATTGCGACATGTGAGCCACACCGAGCCCAGTTTCACATGGGGTGGTTGGGTCGCATCCTTCGCAGCGCCGCACGTCCGCCCCACTGCTGCCTTGCCCTCGAGCCGCGTGGGGTCCTTTCCGCACAGTGGTGAAGGGCATTCTGGGCGTGTGCCCTTGTTGGCTCGCCTGCCCACCCACTGGCATTTCATTCCCGTGCAAAAACCCAAGATGTGGGCTGGGAACCAAGCGCTGCCTCGGACAGGGAGGCCGTGTGGCAGCCGCTGTTTCTCTCCGTCCCTAGGTGTGGTCACAAAGATGAAGATGCAGCGCACCATCGTCATCCGCAGGGACTACCTGCACTACATCCGCAAGTACAACCGCTTTGAGAAGCGCCACAAAAACATGTCGGTGCACCTGTCTCCCTGCTTCAGGTGAGGGGCAGGCGTGGCCCGTCCTGGGCAGGCAGTGGGATCTTGACGTTCTTGGCATTGCAGGCCGGTCGTGGCGCTGCCCCCCAGACCCCCCTGAAGGTTTCGTATTTTAAACCGCGGGCCAGTAACTGCCAGGGTGCTGCACGTACCTGACCTGGCGCGGGCCTCCCATGGCGCACCCTTCGAATTCTGTGTCTGCAGATCTGGTCCTTCCTTCGGAGGGAGCGCGTTTGTGCGAGGTCCTGCAGAAACGAGCCTGCCGGGCTCACTGCGAGGTCTGGGGAAACGGGGCGGGGGCTGCCCTAGAGCAAGCGCATCGGTGATGATGTGTGAACTCACGATGGTCTGCAGAGCCCCCCGGTGAACGGGGGCTGCTGAAAGTGCCAGCCCGGCTGTTGCTGAACCATGGAGCTTGCTCACGGGAACTGGCAGGCATCCTGCAAAGCAGGTCAGGATCCGTTCCCCTGCATCCCCTCAAAAGAGCTAAGGGGTGGAGTTACTTGGTGCCCTCCTGCAGTGACAGGGGGCTGGACTCTGGCTTCCTGGCCCCTTCCGAGTTGCCTATTCTACGATGTTATGCTGCTGTGAACAGCGCAGGCGATGGGGAAAGTACCGTATTTTTCGCTCTGTAAGATGCACCTAGTTTTTAGAGGAGGAAAACAAGAAAAAAAATATTCTGAATCAGATGGGCACATAATCACAGGCACATTCCCCATCACTTCCCCATCGGCTGCACATCTGACAGACTTACTGCACACACACACTCGCTCTATAAGACGCACAGACATTTCCCCTTACTTTTGAGGTGGGGGAAAGTGCGTCTTATAGAGCAAAAAATACGGTACATCGAGACAAGCTGTGCCACTCCGGAGCGGGGAGAGGCCTCTGCATTCTGAGCACATGTCGGGCATCCAGTTCCCGGTTTTGTTTTACACCTTGGACCATTTCCTAGCTGCTGAGCATGGCCAGTCCTCCTCGGGCCAGTCTTGGGGGGTTGCCTCTTTCATTGCTGGGCTGTGAAAGCTGCCTTGGTCCTTCTCTAAGCCCTGGTGTGGCTGGCCCGGGTGAGCATGTGGCTGATGGGAGCTGCAGGCTGAGGGTTGGGCTGCCCCAGGCTGCGTGGGCAGCGCTCGGCACTGGTTTGCTCTGCCAGCCTCACCCTGCGCTCTTCTCTCTCCACAGGGACGTGCAGATTGGGGACATTGTGACAGTGGGCGAGTGCCGCCCACTCAGCAAGACAGTCAGATTCAACGTCCTCAAGGTGACCAAGGCCGCTGGCACCAAGAAGCAGTTCCAGAAATTCTAGCGGCCGCACTGGCTTTCCTTGGGATGTGCAAATAAACCTTTTGTAAAGACCCCGTGGCATGTGGTCTGAATGCTCGGGGGAAGGGAGGCGGGAAGGGTTGGGGTTTTTTTTTTGTAAAATTGGGTAGACCTGATGCACGTGTTCTTGAAATAAAGATAAAGTTGCTCCCTCAGCTAGAAGGCCCACCTTGCTGGTGTTGATGCCTGCAGCACAGGGCAGCCTCTCGCACATTGCTCCTGATCGCTTAGCCTGTTGGCGGAATGTTCATTGTTGTTACAGCAGCAGGCGGGGGGCGCACGGTGCCGTCCTGGGCCTCGTGCTCTTCAGCGTTTTCTTTAATAATTTGGATGGGGGACTTCAGGGAGCACTTACCAGGTAGGCGGCTCACACAAAACTGGGTGGCATAGCTTATACCCTGGAAGGCGGGAAGATGATGGGAGGTGATCTTGAAAGGCTGGTGTGCTGGGATGAACGCAGACTGCAGGTGGGGAGGATTTTGGAATTGTGGTAGAGCACAAGCGGAACATGAGCCAACGCCCTTTTAAGCATCAAGAGATGCATCGCTTCGAATTCTGTGATGTGCCAGTTCCCCTTTGCTCAGCACGGCTGAGGCCTCACCTGGAATCCTGTGTCCAGTTGTGGGCGCCGCCATTTAAGAAAGATGCAGACAGGCTGGAAAAGGCATGGAAACCCTGCCCTGTGAGGGGCGAGGGAAGGAACTGGGCCTGTTTAGCCTGGAGAAGGCTGGGGGAGATCGGGTAGCACTCTGCAAGTACCCAGCGGCATGGAAGGGGCCGTGAAGGCCATCGGGTGTCGTCCATGTCTCGTCTCCCCCCCCCCCACACTGTTGCAGGACAGCAATTTATACCCTCTCAGATGGCTGTCCAGTTTTGCCTTGAACATCTAGTGTTGGAGAGCCCACCACCTCTAGGCAGCTGGTACAGCGCTGACCGTGAGGAAGCTTTTCCTGATGCCCAACCTGAATCTAGGTTGTCTCCACTTGATTATTTTGGGTCCTGCACTCTGGGATCAGTGAGAAGGCATCTTGACCTTCCTCTTTGTGGCAGCCTTTGAGGTACTTACGGAGGGAGATCATGTCCCCCATCAGCCTTCTCAAGGCTGAACATGCCCAATTCTCCCAGTCTCCTCACAGGGCAAACATTGGCTCATTTTTGTTGCCCTCCTCTGGACCCTTTCTAATTTTCCAGCATCTTAAATCTTGATGCCCAGAACTGGACAGAGTGTTCCAGATGAGGCCTGACTAGTGATGAGCACAGAGGAACTACTGCTTCTCGTGATTTGGAAGTAATACTTCTGTTAATGCATCCCAAAATAGCATTTGCCCTTTTGGCCGCTGCATCGCATTGTTGGCTCATGTTTAGCTGGTCCCCAGTCCCTCCAAGGTCTTTGTCTTTTCAGCTCTGTTGAGCCACGTATTCCCCGTCTTGTGTTGATGCCTTCGGGTTCTTGTTCCTGAGGAGAGGACCTGGCATTTGTCCCGACTGAACCTCCTGTTGCTCTCTGCCCCGCATTCTAACCCGATGAAGATCACCCTGCTTCCTATCTCTGTCTTCGGGGTATTTGCAGTTCCACCCAGCGTTGTGCCTTCTGCCAATGTAATCATCTTTCCCTGCACTTCCTCATCCAAGTCGTGAATGAGGTCGAAGAGCACTGGGCCCGGGACAGAAGCCTGCAGCGTCCCCGGCCGCCTCTTCCCAGCCTGGGAAGGTGCCATTGATGGGCACTCTTTGTAGAATTGCTTAACCAAGTATCTCCCAACGTGTGCCTTTGCATTTGTTTTCTTCTTCCTCAGTGCAGAACATGGCAGTTGTCCATGATAGATTCCCGTTTCAGCTTTAAGCCTTGTCCTGGCAGTGCTGCGCAGGGTGAGCGGAGAGCTGTGGGCGGCAGCGGCTGCTTCCCAGGCAGGGTCAGGCGGGGGCCACACGGGGCTTGTGGCAGTGCCGGGGGAGCGTGTGGTACGGGCAGACCCAGAGGGGAGTGGGCTTTTGGGGGTGCAGCGTGTGGGACATTCGTGCAGTGGGCAGGGCCCCATCCGGGCTCTGCTTCGGGCAAGAAAATGTCCGTCCGGCGCTGCTCACCCGAATGCCGTCCGGAGGGGATGCCTTGGTCACTCAGCTTCCCGGAGTTCCCATCCTGGATTCAGCCCACTCCAAACTTTGGAAAAGTAAAGGCGAAAGAGGTGGTGTGTGTGGAAATCCTTGCGGGCTCGGGGCACTCGCCCCTCGCTCCTGGCCACACTTGCCACGGGGCAGCAGGTGCGGGGCGGACCGCCGCTGGCCAGGTGCCCCCTCCTCGGCCGCAGAGAAAGCTGCCCGGCTGCCCACGGTGGGGAGGCGTCCACGGCCAGCCCCGGCAGGGCCCTCGCGTGGGCCGGAGGCGGCAGCGCATCTGGTGCGGGCCGCGGCACATGCAGGCAGCTGTCCGACCGGTTTTCAGCGCGACTTCAAAGCACGTGGCCGCAGCTTTGGTTTTCGCTCTGACGGGCGACTTCGTGCGAGCCTGCGGGGACGCGACACTCGGGTGCCGGTGTGTGCGACCTGGTCTTGGCCTGAGCGCCCCGGGAAGCTGCGGCGGTGGGCCTGTGGGAGGCCACGGAACGCGGTCGGAGCGCCAGCCCGGCTGGGCTCCTGCCGCAGCTGGGAAAACGCCTGCCCGGCGCCCCGGGAGCTGCTGATGCCGGCTTGAGTCTGCCGCACCTGGCCCCGGGGAGGGGGTGGCCCACCCCGGCAGCTGCGGGCAAGAAGCCTTCCCGAAATGGCCCCCATCGGCATCACGGGAGCGCTCGGGCGTGGCAGCAGCACCCTTCCCTGCCGGGCCCACGGGTGGAGCAGCCGCCGGGGGGCGGGCGGGCTCAGGGCAGCCGGGGCGAGGGTGCCCAGGCGCCGGGAGCCCCTGCCGCGCAAGCCCGCGCAGGGGAAAGCGGCTCGGCCCAGCCGGCCAGCTCTGGTTCAGCTTGCACGGGCCGGACCGTCCGGGGCAGCGGAGCCGCAGCGCCGGAGTCCCGCTCGGGAGGCGTGAGGAGGGGCGCCCCCGCCCGCCCGGGGAAGGCGCTTTCCCGGCCCATCGCAGTCGTCCCGCGATCCCGCCAGGAGGGCCCGGGCCAGCGGAGCCGCCGGAGCGTAAGTCGCCCGCGCGCGGGGCTGTGCCCTCCTAGGAACCCGCCGGGCGCTGGCCCGGGCTTCCCCCGCCACCGAGGGCGCTCGCTCGGCAGCCGGACCTGGAGCGGGGCGCGGGTGCTGGGCTGCCTGCCTGCCTGCCTGCCTGCTTGCGAAGGGCGGCCGGGGGACACGCTCCGGGCACGCCCGCAGGGAGGTCAGCTCCGCAGCGCGGGGCCGGGGGCCTCTCGGCGCCCGCCCTTGAGCTCGCAGGGCCCATCGGCCAGCAGAGCGCGCGGCGGGGGAAGAGGGGCTTCGCCGCCACGGCTCCCCCCCGCTGCCCCACCCGCCTCGAGCCCCTCCACCAGCTGCCAAGTGCCGTGTTAGCTGTTGGTGCACGTGAAGGCCTCACAGGGGGCAGATTTGGGGGTCGGGGTGCCCCTCCCTGCCGGGACGGTTTGGCCGCGTGAGGCATGGGCGCCCTGCGGTGATCCTTCAGCACCCCGACCTTTCTTTCTTTCAGTATGCGAATGCGGGCTATGTCAGGCCTCCCTCGCCCTCCTGCGCTGCCTGCACAATCGGAGGGGGCTGGTGGGGGCCGCTTTAGCCCCCCACTCCCACCACGCTGCTTCCTCCCCCTCAGCCCATCTCCTCGCTTCTGCATCAAAGAAATTTGCCCCCGTGCAGCCCCAAGTGTTTAATATTGGGAAGAAAAGCTTTCCAGATGCTCGGCTGCCCCCCCCCAGCTGAGCTGCACTCAGGAAAGCGGGGAAGCCCTTTGCACCCCCCCCCACCTCCCACCCTGCGCTGCTTGGCATGCAAAGAGATGCACCAGAAGGTGGAGGTGATGCAGCGTTACAGAATCGCAGAACAACAGGGTTGGAAGGGGCCAGAAGGCCCTCGGGCCACCCCCCTGCTCAGGGCAGGACACCACTTTGCACTCCCGCTCAGGTGGCCCTCTAGTTTCTCTCCGAATGTTACCTGCAGCCCCTGCCCATCCGCACGTCCCGCACCTCCATCCTCTCCGAGCCCGCATGGCTGTGTCGCCAGATGCCGGGGACCATGGGCAAGGAGGCGCCTTGTCTGACCCCGAGCAGACACATGTAAGCAGTCGGCAGGTGTGCAGCAGCCCCTCCAGCCCACGTCCCCCGCTGGCTGGCAGACGAGCAGAGCAGCTCGTAGCCCCTGGCAACCTCCCCTGCTTTCAAGCCGTCCAAATACGTCGCAGAAGTGCCTCCCAAGCTCCTGTTGCTTCGACCTCCCCAAATAGTTTGGTCTCATCAGCAAACTTGGCCACTTCTCCGTTGACTCCAGTTCCAGATCCCTTGTGAGTAGGTACACAGGTCCTGAAGGGGGGCCCTGGGGTCCCCCGCTGTTGGCGCCCCTCCCCGGGAGAGAGTGCCTTTTCGTCCCACCCTCGGCTGCCTGCTCCTTCACCAGCTACTGATCCATAAGGGGGCCTCCCCCTCGTTCCAGGACTAATTGGGCTTGCTCAGGACTCTGGTGAGGGACTCAGAAGCCTTTTGGAAGTCCAAGTAAGCAAAGCCCGGACAACCGCCTGCTCCTCATGTTTGCTGACACTCTGGAAGCGCCGCAGGAGGTTGCGAGACGGGACTTGCTTCCAGGAGCCTTGCTGATCCCTCTGTGGCGTGACTTGTCCTGCTGCTTGCTGCTTTTTTCTTCAGTCATGCTTTCGGGCCATTTACCTGGAATAGGTATTATCCCAGCCAGCCTGCAACGCCCCTGGATCCCCTCTGAGCAAATGGCTTGCATTGGCCGGTCTCTGGGGAAGAGGCCAGCTTGGCGAGTGGGCACATGTTCCGGTTTGGAGAGCAGCAGCTTTGAGTTTGCGTGCTGCAGTCCATTCCTTGCAGACTGGTTCTGAGGGGCCCCGTCCACTCTCTGGGCCCTGGCAGAGAGACAGTCCCGTGTTCTGTGGCAGAATTCACAAACAGAATATTTTGGGCACCAAAAGTTGGGCCAGGATTGTCTTCTGAGCTGCAGGAGACCCGGTCAGTCCCACGTCCCTGAAGCACCAAGCCTGTTACAGCCCTGCCGGTGAGGGCTGCGTTTGGGCCTCGAATGGCCGAGCCCGGAAGGGGCGATCGGGGTCGCCTGGTCCAGTGCGACCCCCCTCCTCAGTGCGGGAGCAGCCATGCAGGCACAGCCCGGAATTCCTCCTTCCGGCAGTCTCTTATTCCCTCGGAAAGGCGACTGGCCTTTGCGCACAGCGCTTTCTCCCGGCTGGGGGGGGACGGGGGACTGGCCGTTCCTTTTATTCTCTGTCTCCCAGCGGCTGGCTCCAAAGGGGGGAAGGCAGAGGCCAGGCTGCACCTTGGGAATGTTTCCAGGATGTGCCAAGAACAGCCTCAGGCACCCAAACCATTAACTGGTTAATCATTTTTAAAGCCATACAGAGAGTTAGATACCTGCCGGCTTTGGTGGTCCTACCCATCGCTGGACCTCCTTCCAGCCAACAGCACAGCTGCAACGGCCCTGCTTGGGGTGCTGGGCACTGGGGTCACGAGCTCGGGGCCGCCCCTTGGGGTCAGGGGCCGAAGGAAGTCGAAACCGGTCCCTGCACCCTCTTTCATTTCAACCCCTGCGAGACTGCAGGTAGGAGCTGTTTGTCCTGCACGACAAGGCCAAAGCTAGGCTGCTCCCTGGCCAGCCCTTGAGTCCAGAATAATACTGAGTTCGTCTAGACCTGGGGCAAAATTGACCCCCCAAAAAAGGGAGGGAGGGGGAGGGGGAGGAAATTGCACCTCTGTAATTTCGGCTCCTTTGTAATGGTTCTCGCAACTGCACCTCTCCGGGCTGCCCGTGGGAGGGACTGCTGTGCTGCTCTGCTTCCCTCTCGGTTAGTTTTGTGCTCGTACGGCGGAAGGAATCTGTGGACCTGGCCAGTCCTCCTCTGGTCCTGCTCCGAGTCATCTATAGACTTGGCAAAGAACCTCATGAGAGGTCCCTGCCCCATGCGGCTTACAGTCTGAAGCAGGCACGGGGGATGACTGAGGAAGGCAGGAATGGAGGCCCAGGAACACGCGAGCGGCCTTAACTGGACCCTGGCCCACCTGCTCCCCAGGCCCCAGGCCGTCTGGCCCGGGGTCTTTAACACAGGCCGGCAGCCCTGCTCTCCAGGGAGGGCTTTCATCCTGTCCCCCGCCAGCTCTTTCCCCCAGTCCCTGGGCCCTGCTTGCCGCCCTCCTCGGCTCGCGCTCCGGCAGGGCTCTGCCGCGGCCTTTCCCCATGTGGGCGAGCAAGGGGAGCCGTGGGCAGGCCCAGCCATGAGCGCTTGGCTTCGTGGCGGCGCGTTCTGGGACTGGGGAGAAGATCGGCAGCTTTGTGGGAAAGGCGCACTTTGTGGAGGGCCCGAGAGGGAGGTGGGAGGGGGCATCCGAGAGGATGGTGCTGAGTCCAGGAGTGGGTGGGAAGCTGGAGGAGGGATGTGAAGAGGGGACTCACATGGTCTCAGCACCAAGCGGGAAGGCGTGCAGGAGACGGGAGCTGAGAGGAGAACCTGCAGGGAGGGGGAACCACTTGGGAGTCCCTGTCCCTCGGCCTGAGCGGACTGGCCTTTGGAGAGTGCGCCACTTCCTCCTGCCGGGAGACAGGCACACACCTCTGTCCGCGCCCGTCCTCAGCGCTCAGGCCAACACCCCAGGGCCCGGGGCCCGGGTTCCCCGAGAGGGAGCTGCAGGCTCTGACGCCGTCGTCCGTCTCCCCTTTCAGGAGGCCACAGGCGCTCCGACGGAGAAAGCCACGCCCCCAACATGCCAGCCGGGAATCACAGCGGCTTTGACCCCGTCACGTTTGTCCTGACGGGCATCCCGGGCATGGAGGAGTCCCACGTCTGGATCTCCGTTCCCTTCTGCCTGATGTACGTGGTTGCGCTCCTTGGGAACTCCCTCCTGCTGCTGCTCATCGCCACCGACCGCAGCCTCCGCCAGCCCATGTGCCTCCTGCTGGCTATGCTGGCCGTGGCGGACCTCCTGCTGTCCACGGCCACAGTGCCCGAGATGCTGGCCATCTTCTGGTTCGGCTCCCGGAAGGTCTCCTTCGATGCCTGCGTGGCCCAGATGTTCTTCACCCACTGCAGCTTCATTGCGGAGTCATCGATCCTGCTGGCCATGGCGTTTGACCGCTACATGGCCATCTGCGACCCCCTGCGCTACCTGGCCACCCTCACGCCGTCGGCCATCGGGAAGGTCGCCGCAGCCGCTGTCACGCGGGGGCTGTGCATCATGCTCCCCCCCGTCTTCCTGCTCAAGAGGCTGCCCTTCTGTGGCCGCAGCACTATGCGCCACACCTACTGCGAGCACATGGGCATCGCCCGGCTGGCCTGTGCGGACATCTCCGTGAACGTCTGGTACGGGTTCACGACCACGCTCCTGTCCTCGGGGGTGGACGTGGTGCTGATCGCCGCGTCGTACGTCCTGATCCTGCGGGCCGTCTTCCAGCTGCCTGCCCGGGAAGCGCGGCTGAAGGCTCTGCGCACCTGTGGCTCCCACGTCTGCGTCATCTTGATGTTCTACCTGCCGGCCTTCTTCTCCTTCCTCACCCACCGCTTCGGCCACAGCATCCCCAGCTGCATCCACATCTTGCTGGCCAACCTGTACGTCGTCGTCCCGCCCATGCTGAACCCCATTGTCTACGGGGTGAGGACCAAGCAGATCCGGCAGCGCATCCTGCACGTCTTCTCGCCGTCGAGGCGAACATGCTGCTGAGGGCCCGGCGTGGCCAACCCCGGCCAGGTTCCTTGGCGAAACGCTGCGCCCAGGATGGAGGCCCCTCGCCCGGGACGGCAGCGGCTCCCACGCAACCGCGGGCCGGGTCAGGGCGAGCGGGGACGGCCGCCGCGGCCTCTGCCGTGCTCTACCAGCCGACGCCTGTCCTGCCCGAGGCCGAGCGTGCTCCTCCGGCACCTCTGCCTGCATTGGCGGCGCACAGGGGAGACGTGACCGGGCTCACTGGCTCAGCCGGCTTCCACACCTCCTAGTTCCAGATCATTTAAGGATAGGTTGGAAGAGGTCGGCCGAGTGCAGAGGCCCCCTGCTTGCCTCCTGCCAAGGCCGAGACCGCCCACACCACTGTTTCCAGTCACGATCTCCGGACGGATCCGGGGGCTGGAGAGTGAAGAAAGCTGTCGGGAGGGCAACGGAGGCATTTGAGGCGTGGTGCTGGAGCGCTGCTTCGTGGGTCCTGTGGCCAAGGGGAAGGTGGACGGGGGGGCCCCGGGCCAGGCCAGACCAGCGCTTGCCCTGAAGCAGTCGTGGCAAAATGGAGGTGCGGGAGGGCAATGCTTGATGAGACCGCGAGGGATCCTTGAAAGCAGGCGAGGATGGCCAGCAGGAGGCCACCCGACTCCATACCGGCAGCCATGGCTGGAGCTGACGAGAGCTGGGCCGGGCCGGGCAGGACAGGACGGGCGCCTGGGAGGGCGGCCACCCCGGGCCTCACCCATCGGAGGTGGCTCCGTGGCACCGGACGACACCGGGCTGGCCTGGCCTGGCCTGGCTGGCGGGGGGGGGGGGGGGGGGGAAGGTCTGTCCAGGCTGTTTTGGCAAGAATGCATCGCCACACGCATGGGGCTGTTTTTTAAACGTTAGTAAAGAAAGAGCTCAAGATGCTGACACTTTGAGCGTGGGCAAAGGAAAACGGATTCAGGCATCCCTCTCCTCGGAAGGTTTCGGAGACAAAGCCGGCCCTTTGGGGAGTGGCGGGTGGGTGAGCAGAGCCCGGCCGGAGTCCAGCTCCTGGCTCGCCCCCCCCGACGGAGGGAGTCCCGGGCGGTTGCTGCCGCCAGCTCAGCAGTGACATCACAGAGCGGGGTTCCACCTCAGAAGCGCCTGAGCAGCGCGGGGGGCAGCGGGGAGAGGGAACGTGGAGCCGGCATGGTGATGGGGCGAGGAGGCGAGGGACCGGCGTGCGGAGCTGCAAGGAGCACCCTGCTTCACGCCCCACCCACAGCAGCCTCTCCTCTTCCAGAAGGCGGGATGAGCGCTCGGCACCGTCATGGTTGAAAGCCAGAAGATCCCGGGGGCCAAGCTGGCAGCCGCCCCCGAGCCTCAGGTTGTGCGGATCCTCGTGAAGACCCCTTGGCAGCAGGAGGAGTTCCTGGTCCACAGGGACATGCTGGTCCGGGAGTTCAAGGAGCTCGTCGCCCGGCACTTCTCCGCGGCCCCCAAGCACGTCGTGCTGGTCCAGGCCGGGCGGATTTTGAAAGACCACAAGGCCCTGGGGCACCACGGGGCCCTCCTGGAGGCCGACGCCACCGTCTATGTGGTCGTCCGCTCTCCGTGGGCGCGCCCCTCCCGGCAGGCCTCTGCGGGCCCTCCCGGCGGCGCCCCTGGCCAGAAGCCCAGCCAGAGCAGCACCTCCGCCGGCGACGGCCTCCGAGCGCTCACGGCCAGCCTGGGCCTGAACACCGCCACCTTCGCCGAGTTCCAGAGCCGGCTCATGTCCCACCCTGACATCATGCTGCGGCTGCTGGAGGACCCCTCCATCCAGAGCAAGCTCTCGAGCCCCAGCCTGGTGAAGGAGCTGCTCACCAACAGCCGGCCGGTGCAGCAGGTGATCAAGAGTGCCCCGGAGATCAGCCACGTCTTCAGCTCCCCCGAGGGCGTGCGGCTGGTGATGGAGCTGGCCAGGAACCCGGCGGCCGTGCGGGAGATCCTGAAGTCGCCCCCGCAGGCCCTCGGCTGCCCCAGTGGGGACGGCAACAGCGTCCTGCAGGACACGCTGGCCGAGGCCCGGGCCCCGGGGCAGAATGCCGTCCCCAAGTGGCGTGGAGCGGCCCCGTGGCCCGTCTCCCTGGGGGGCCACCAGCCACCCGTGGAGCCAGAGGAAAGGCCTGGGTGGGCCCGAGAGCCCCTGCCTTCTCTCCGGACGTGGCCCACGAGGCCCGGGGCCCTTGGCGAGCACAGCAGTGGGGAAAGCGGCCCCTGGAAGGGGGCAGAAGCCGGCCAGCTTGCCTCGGCAGCGGTCAGGAACCTGCTCCGCCAGATCATCAGGCACCTCGTGCAGAGCACCATGGGCAGCCCCTCCCGGAATGCAGCCGCACAGGGGCCAAGCCCCGTGCCGGAGCAGGTGGCCCGGGGGGCTCGGCGGGACACGGGGAGAGGCCGGGACGCCCGCGAGCAGGCAGGCACACCGGTCCCGGGCCCCGACGTGCTCCCGGCCAGCTGGAGTCCCCGAGAGAGGCAGGCGCTCCTGGACATTCAGCGGCGGCTGCAGGCCCTGGCCACCGAGGAGCCGGCCGGGGAGCGGCGAGGCAGGTCCGAGCGGCCTGCGCGGAGAGCACGCTCCATCACCTCCCTCTGCAACCTCAGCCTGGCGGCCTCAGGCCTGGGGTGCCAGGACCTCTCTGCCCAGCAGATCTTGCAGACTCTGATGGGCCCCGATTTCCTAGCCAGTGAGAAAGGCACCGGTCGTCCCCGAGGCTCCTCCGCACAGCCATCTTCCAAGCAGAAGCGGACACGCGAGCTCTGAGCCCAGGAGGCCGAGCCAGGCGGTGGGTGGGGGACGGGCACGGGGCTGGCCCGGCTCCGCCTGCAAGGGGAGAATTCTTGGTTTCTGATTAAAGGATGTAAATCTGTCAAAAGGTCTCCTTGTTGCCTTCAGCCTGGGTTCTTCCCGGAGCCGAGGGAGCTCTTGCCGCTGGGCTGCGTTTCTGGCAAAGGTGGGCTCCCCGCCAAACCAGTACAGAGCCGGGGGCTCCCCACTGCCCACCCGGCAGCCCCCTTCCCCTCGCTCCCTCTCTGCAAGACGAGCACTTCACTTTCTTCTCTCAAGGGGGAAAGGCCCTCACTTGGGCGCATGCTCTTGATGTGTCACCCAGGCACTTCTGCCTTCCTCACGCACTCTTGCGCATGTGCGCGCGCATAGGGGTGTAGAGGCATATCTTGACAGTGCTGCTTTTCCCAGGAAATCCACTGTGTGAGGGTTTACATGGAGTGAGCTGTGGCTGGGAAATCCCTTGTGTCCAGGACGGTGTGCGGGCGAGTCTGCAGCTTGGACCCTGCAGGTCCCTGCAGAGGGCAGAGGCTTTCTTGGCCTCCTTGATATAAAGAGGGCAGCGTGGGCAAGGGGGTTCATTTCTAAAGGCGAGGTGCTGGGGCTCAAACTAAGGCCTGCTGGGAAATGCCCCCATTCCACTGGCGGCTCCTCCACACCCCTCCCACGGGCATCCTGATCTGCCCAGCCGCTGCCAGGATCGGGACAGCGCCAAGCTCCTGCTGCTCCGAGGCTCCTGCACTGGCACGGCATCCCGCGCTCACCCACGGCTGTGGCCCACCTGGCCTGCGCAGACGTGGCGGGGAGACAGAGGGGGGCTGCCGGCCTCTTCTCAGCATGGCGAGATGGCGCAGGCCTCTTCGGCCCCCGTCCTTCAGACCCTCTTCTGGCTCCGGACAGCTGCAGGTCCCGCCCCTGCGCCATCACCTCTGTTTACGCGCCAGCCTCACGCTCCTTTCTTGGCCACCGTGGGGGCGCGTTGCGTGATTTGCTGCCAGGCCTTCCCCCGTGTTCAGCAGCCCGTGAAGGAAAGCCCCCCACTGCCCCGCCCTCCACAACGCCGCTCAGCCCTCGGCTCTCGAGCCCTGGGGGAGGCCCCTCGCCTCCTCGCTGGCTCGTCTTCCTCTTCTGCCTTCCGCTGGCTCGCCGGATCCTCTTCTCCAGGGAGTCGGGTTTTGCTGCTGAGCCCAGATACAGAGCCCCCGGCCCATCAGTTTGCTTCCACAGAAGATCTTGCTTTGATCCAGCAGATCCACCTGTCTGTCTGTCTGTCTGGCGCCCTCCAGCACTGCGTTTCGAAGGCATGGATTTTCTTCTTGCCAGCTTCCGCATTCAAGCGCAGCGGTGGGGAAAACGATGCCTGGAGCGCTATTGGCCTCGGTCTCCTGTGAGACATCCTTCGACCTGATGGTCTTTTCTAGTTCCATCATTGCCGCCCTTCCCAATTTCAGCCTTCTTGGAATTTCTCGGCGGCCTCCCACTTTGGACTGATGGCTGAGCTGAGGTATACAAAGTCTTTCACAGTTTTGATTTCCCCACACAGGAGATGATTCTGTAATTCTTCTGTGGAAACCATCTTTGTTTTCCTGAGATTCAGTTGTGGTCCTGCTTTTGCACTGATCCACACAATAAACGGCATTGTTGTAGTATATAAAGCACAGACTGATCTTTTGAAATTCTTTCAAATGCTACAGGAGCCAACATGGTGCAGAGGTTGAGAGCATGGGACTGGGACTCGGGCGATCCGGGTTCAAGTCCCCACTCTACCATGGAGCCAACTGGATGGCTCTGGGCCGGTCACAGGCTCTCAGCCCTACCCACCTCCCTGAGTTGTGGGGATACAATCGAAAGGGGGAGAATGATGAAAGCTGCCCTGCATTCCTTGGAAGCCAAATAGTGGGATATAAATACAATAAATTAATTAATAGAACATATGCTGCAATAGGAGCGCGAGTGCTTCTTCCTTCTCGGCATCCAACTTGCATGCCTCTCAGTGTCCGGTCGAATTCTTGCTGCGACTCCTTGAGCATCACTTTGCCTGCCTGGGGAGTCAGTCCGAGGGCTGCGGGCTCTTGCTTTGCCTTTGGGGACTGGAACGCAAAATGTTTTTTATTCTTTGCTGCATCACCATTCTGCCCGTGGCTGAAGCTCTCTGGGTGGGGGCGCTTCCAGCCTGAGGGCTTTGCTTCGTGCCCACCACCATGCTGAGATCTTGCACGCCCATTGAAACGCCAGCGGTCGTCGTCAGATCTGCTCCCACGGCCGTGCAAGTCTGCACCCAGTTCGCTTTCTGGGGGCCTCTTTGGGGGCAGTGCACCTGCAGCCCCCATGCGTGGGGGCCTGGGCCTCCACTCCGGGGCCCAAGGGGGCCTGGGACTGCCCGACGTGCCTCTGTGGGATGGGCTCCCTGCTGCGGCTGGCTTGGTCACTCATGCCCGATGCTCAGGCTCCCTGCGTCCTCCCCGCCTGCCTCTTCCTCCCGCCGTCTTTCTTTGGGTTGCCAAATTCAGTTGGCAGCAGGGCTGTTTCTGCCATGTGAGGCTGTCGGGGAGCCTCATTCTGCGCTTCCCCGAGCGCATCCCTGCACGCCTGACTCAACTCGGCCCAGGCATCGACTTCGTGCTGCTCTCCTGCCCCACGTGGTGGGCCCTGCGGGAAGGGGGCGGCCCTGCCCCTTTCCCTCCCCCCTCGCGTCCACTTTCCGGGCTGCTTCCCCCTTAGGGCCCTGGACGTGCCTCTCTCTGGCCCCAGAAGCAGGGAGAGCCTTGCGTGGGGAGGGGCTGCGCACCTCCGTGGCCCCCTGCTTCCCCACCGAGAGCAGCGGCCTCCCAGCGCAGTGCTCCCTGGCGGAGGCCAAAGCCGCCCGGGGTAGGAGGCCCGCACGGGAAGCAGGGTCCCCGGAAAGGGCTCCCGCAGCACTTGGACGTGAAGCAGCAGATACGCGAGCAACAAAATGCCCGTGTTTCAGTGAAACAATTCAGCCAAGACGACGACGACCCACAGCCACGATAGCCAAGTCGAGATGCGGCACAGCAGCAATGATGATAAAAACAGGATTAAAAGTAGCCTTTATTTATTAATTCCCTGGGTTTCTATCAGGCCTCCTTCACCATAAGGCTCAATTATCTATTAAAATAGGGGAGGCCTTGGGCGCAGGTGAGTGTCAAGGGCTGGGCAGGTGCTGCCGAGCAGCCAGGCAGAGCCGGAGGGCCGAGGTTTCTCACACGCAGAAAGATTTGTGTGTGTGTGTGTGTTTGTTCTGCAGAGTGGTGGCCTCCTTCCCCCACAAGCCCATCCCGATGTGCCCCGCTGGCTGGGGCTGCTGCCTGCTTCTCCAGGGGACCGTTTCTGACTCTGAGGTTTGCCACTGCGGATCATGCAGAGCAGCCCAGGAGCAGGCAGGCGAGGCTGGACTGGCCCAGCCCACGGAAGGACTGGCAGAGGCAGGGGCTTTTCTGGTGCGCAGCCCAGAAGGAAAGGGGGCCATTCTTCCAGGCGGCCAATACGGTGGGCAGCATGTGGTTTGCACGGGAAAAACGGGGGAGCGGGAAGCCAGGCGGGAGTCAGAGCAAGGGAAGGGCGGGCCTGCAAGGCCGAAGCCGCGCCGCGCAACCGGCGAGGGCCCCCGGAGCCCGGAGGCAGCGCTGCAGCGGCGTCCCTTCCGCCGCGGCAGGTGAATGGACGCGCAAGAAACGGCGCCAAGCGCGACCCCCGTGCGCAGAAGGAGCGCCTGCTCGCAGGACGGGCGCGCCACTGCCCCCTCACGCACAGCCCCCGCGGAGAGGCCCGTCTCCGTCGGCCCCCCACCGCTGCCCGCGTGGCCGGGCGGCGGCGGCACCCCGTGGAGGAGGCGCCGGATGGCGCTCGGCCAGGCGCGGGAGCAGAGCTGGCTGGCCCGGTTCCGGTTCCGCGGCGCGCCCCGCGAGCGAGGTGGCGGCTTCCCACGCGGGGGGCGGGGGCGGGGGGCTTCCCTGATCGCGAAGCGGCGGCTGCCCCCGCTGCGGCGGAGGAGGCAGGGACGGGGCAGTCTCCGCGCCTCCTCCGCGCTCCAGTCCCCCACGCCCGGGCATCCGGATTGGGACGCGGGGCCCAGCGGGCTAGACTTCAGCTTGCCCCGGGCAGGGCGGCGCTGCCGCGAGGCTCCCCGCCGCGCCGGCGCTTCCGCCCCGCCCGGCCGTTGCGCGGGTTTGCCAGGCGCCCCTCGGCGTCCCGGATCCGGCCCGCGCCGGGCGCCTTCGGGACCGCCGGGCGGGGGAGAGCGCGGCGCCTGCCCCAGCCGGGGGCCTCGCCGGGGACGTCACAGAGCCCCGG